CAATTAAGCTTTAAAATAAGAGTTTGTCAAGCTCATTTGCACGTCTAAAAGCCATGTTACGATCGAAAAAGCTTCGAAAAATACGTATTTTGCAACCATTTGGCACTAATTTATATTACTAGACATTATATTTAACATTACTTTCGATACCTTTCTGCTGATTCCCAGTGTCATGTCAACATTTTCATTTTCGATATAAAAACGAGTCCTCGTATAGAGTTCAATATTGCCTTAAATAACCAATTTGACAAGTTTTGTAACAGTTTTATCCTTTTTGGGTATAATTTTTTAAGTATCTAATGACTTATTCCAATGAAATACTGCTTAAGATTTGCCTGTTCTTACGGAATTTTTCTGTTGTGACTCTCTAGTTTGAATGGGTTTCCTGGTTCTAAATTTAACGAATCGGTTTTGGAGATACCAGCTACGGAATTCTTGACAGATGACATCCATTATTTATAATCTTTTACTTATCGCCTCCTGTAGTTTCAGTGCTCTACTGTTGGCTTGATGTCGGACTGTGTTGAACGAATACAACATCACAGAGATATATTCTTTTTGTACATGTCTTGATCAGCTCAACCTAAATCTCACGATTGTCAATCACTTCTACTTTCAGTCTTTTCTTCTCAATGGTACCAAAGTCCCTAGCCATTGGCATCATAGAATAGGATAATATATGTTAATTAATATCTTTTAAGATTTTACGTTTGCATAACTAGGATTCGATTTTTGTTTTGGCTAAATAAGTTGTCGAAATTTTTTTTTAAGTTTTATTGCAGCGGTTCCTTATTGTTTTTAATATAATCAGACAAGCACGTTATAACCTCATTTGTTCCTTTTTGGGCAAAATGTTTGTATTGTGGCATGATATTTTTCCCTTAAGTATCCAATATTTAAATATATCAAAATCTATAAGAATTTATTTGATATGCCCCTGCTTGGTACGTAACAGTTTGTTTACATAGGTGTATATGCCGAGTCGTCTAAAGAAAATATTAACTGCGTGATGTCTAATCGCATTTTAATTTAAATAAGTTCCCACAAAAATTTGAAGGCCCAGCCCTTTAAGGTCCATTATCGAATCAAAAGCGTAGTTAAATAGAGATCCGATTGGCTGGGAGTTAGAAACTAGTACGGGAAGACACGTATTTGATGGGGAGTGGGTGTCAGGTCGAGTGTGGCGTTAGAAGCGAGGAGAACAAATTTGGGTCTGAACGAGGAAACATTGTTTTCAGTTAGTTTCAAAACCGGCAAATTTTGTTTTAATTCCATGAGTTTTAATAAAAAAAAAAGGTGATTTTAGCTTAAAATGATTTGTAGCAGTATTTGTATAGTGAGTTAGTTAGTTACCGGTTGTTTTTAAGCTTTTTTCTTTGTCAAGGAATTTGATAATAGCGTGCTGAAGGCTAAGAGCGTCGTTTTAAGTGAAAAATAAGCAGCCGCACTTTGAAGAATACATATTGTTATTAGCCAGGATAACCTAAAGGCCAATTTGATGTTTTCCCAAGATTTCCCAAGATTTATCTAGCATCCATTTTGTGTCTACAATTAAGTTTGTGAGGAAGAGTGTTTTTTGTATTCAAATCTAAGGTAGCAAACTTTTTTTAATAATTTCAAAAGAAATAATTAGCAAGTGAAGTGATTAGTTTTGTTAAATTCTACTAAATAAACATTTATCTTTAATATATTAAGATTTGCTCTCATTTCAGTTTAAAGATTTATAAGTAAATATAAGTTTTATGGATCAGCTAATTTTCATATTTTAGTTTCTTTTAAAAAAATTAACTTTTGCTAATTAGTTATTAATGCAGAAAAGTTTGGTATTTCATTTCGACATATTACAGTTAGTATATCCTTTCCTGTCATTTGATACATAAACATAATTTTAATTCTGTTTTGTCAGAAGGTCCAATTCAATGTCAGGTTTGTTGATAAATTTTAATATTTTTATTTGTATTAACTGTTTATGTGAAATAAAAATAAATATGTAATATTTCTCTTTAAACCAGGAGTTTAAAATTATTTCTTTTTCGCCCTTGTAATTTATTGGGAGAGATAAACTTTTTATTTCTAATCAACATGAGGATTTTTTAAACGACATCCTATTTTAAATATTTTAGGAATCTTCTTGTGTATTGTTGCACAGGACATCTCTGTATGTACTTTTTTGATATTCTTTTTGTAGTTAGTCCTCCCCAGATAAAGAACTCCTTATCCACGACTCGGCTCTGCAACCAAAACACGAGTAGCCATTCGCAAACATTTCAATTTAGTTGCTTACCCTATCTCCAAGATCAGTAATTATTCAGTCCCCCTTTTAACCCCCAATAAGCAAATTATTAATTGTTTCAACAATATAAATGTACGTATACAAAAGCACAAATTTGTGTTTTATAAGTTTTCAGGTTGTGAATGCCAATAACGTAGAGCCACAACTGACTAATATAATGTTTATTTTGTGTGTTAGTTATACAGTCTGTTCTTTTCATAGTCAAAACATATCATTTTAGAAGTATCCGTTGATTTCTGATCTTCAGCTAATTATGTTTTACATACATCTACTTTTCTAATATCAATCTCTTTATATCTTTTAAGGGTTTTTAAGATTTAATCATTAGATTCCAGTTCAGCTTGCCTTATACTAACTAGGAATATTGTAAATGTTTTGCACTATACCCTTTGTTGTATATCTAAAGGAAATGTATAATTTCTCATTAAATACCTTGGCGCAAAAATCCCATAGACTATTATCAGAATGTGTGTAAAAATTTTTCAGTAGTTTAAGATTTGATATATTAGGGTCCGGGTATTTTCTATTGCGACTATCAAATCTAGTATAGTGCGATTTTCGAACTAGGAATTCAGCAGCAAACTTTCTGACCTTATTAAGAGATTTTGATTAAGATTTACCAAAATCGAACATTTTTCTCGACGATTGATTGATAGTATAGTAAACTTTTATAGTGTAATTCTATAGCTGATAACTCAGCAATAAATTTTCTGATTTTTTCAAGAGATTTTGGAGGCATTCTTTGGCTTGGTGGCGTGACGGCCTATATTGTCTGCTAAATGAACTGCAGTTCTAATCGTATAATCTAATCTAGATTTCAAAATCCGGCAGCTAAAGAGCTAAATATAGCTTTTTAGCTACCGACTGCCGGAAAAAAATTAGGTAAATAGTTAAAAAGACTTTTTGACATAAAGACGCTTTTCCAATTTTAGAATTGGTACGAATCTCATAAGAGGAGATTACCAAAATCAGACATTTTTCTCGAGGATACTTACGGTACAATTTCAAAAATTTACTGAAAAAAGTTAGACACGAATATTTATTTATTCAACAAACTGGTGACTTAGAGAATCTGTGTCAGCAGCAAAAAGTTATCAAGTTCAAGTACTTGGACAACAGCCACTTCTTGCACTGACATGATAATTGATTAAAATTTCAACATATGGGATTGTTCCCAATATGGGACGCTTTTATAGGTCATAATTTAACCTAAAAAAGGGGGGGTATGGAGTTAACAACTTTTTGCACTGACCCCTACAATGGCGTTTTCCCTGATATATTTTGCGTTTTATTAAAAACTGCGAAGCTAGTCAAACATTAGGACTACCATCGAAATGCAATGACATAAATACAATCTAGAAATAAATATTTGTCAAGAAGCAGGATTAGATTGTACTCTTAATCCAATCAGTGGCAACTTATTTTCTAAAAAATGAAAAGGCTGATATGTTTTTGTATATATTGGACAAATCAAAAGTTTTTAATTCTTAGCTGAGCTCTTTCGGCTTACAAAACCATCTTCGGAGCTATGCTACAAGAGAGCAATGAAGAAAATAACTAATTTTAATTTAACAATGATTTACTTACGTCAAATATAAAGTATCCTATTAGTAGAGATCATGTGGTAAGCACAAAATTTCTGGTTCTATTTTTTCTTTTCCTTTTTAGACAATGAAACTAATAATGATGAATGATGAAATTACTTTATGTTAAAACTTTTGGGAGAAAAATTTTTTACTGTTGTTTGTTGTCCAAAATATACGAATTCTCAATTTAGAAATGATTAAAACGTTCTTTATATGCGACTCTTCAAACCAGGAAAATTATAATTATCGATTTTTATCATTTTTACGAGGATTTATAAAAATAATATGACTACCGAATAAAATACAACATAAAATGCAAATAAGCTGTATCATAGCGTAAAATAAACTTTGGATCCACTCTGTATCTATGAAATACACTGTGAATGCAACAATTTTTAGGTGGGAGAAACCGCAACACTACTAAGTGTCAGGATATACGAGCATAAAACATACATCAAAAACAGAGACCTCGACAGATCCTAGATATACTGATATGCCTGGGACAAAGAGCAGAGTACAGTACTACAAAGTATTACAAAGTTACTCTCAAAGTACAAACGAGTATTACAAAGTAAGTTTTATCTTACTTAATGAAAAAAATATGCAGCAAACCCATTAGCAGAGTGTAGCCGGATCTGGTGGCCGGTACTAAAACAAGAAGTCAGCAACAAGAATATACAAATATTATTGGATTAATAGATCAGATTCATATTCTATACATACATAATACAATACATAAACACACAATACACAAACATACAACACATAAACACACAACAAATCAGATTTTGATATCGACCCTAAGGTCATGATAACATAACCGATAACATGACTATATACGTGCAAGATCGAGGCTGGGTAAGTCGCCTATCAAAATTCTTAAAATTATATCCAGGGTCATGGAGTGGCTTCCTTGAATCAACACCTGAAGGAATAAACGGAGACTTGATACGTAATCTGCACATCAACGTTTGATAAAAATATTTTAATGTTACTTGTATTATTTTCATTTTAATGTAAAATTTGTAATGTACTTATAACATTTTTCTTAATTTGTGTCATAAGCTTAATAAAAACAATCTAAGAAATTGATATGTTTTAGGATTTAAATGAGTACTTACCGTCAAGTTGACATTGCATATAGATGGCCCCGATAACAACAACCGCACGATGTCAACATTTCCGGACCAAGCTGCCAGATGAAGAGGTGAGGAACCTTTGCTATCAACAATATTTGTTGATGCATCATGGTCCAGGAGCAACTTCACAATTTCTCTGCAAAAAAAACGTCAACCATATAATTAAAAGAAATCAAAGGTTTGAATGGAATATTTCATTCAATTCTACACAGACATAACTATTCTCTATAACAAACAAAACAAAACTTTCTTGTAATATTTCTAGTAAGTTATTGTCATGATCACATCTAACTTTTGTATAATTTATTTTTTCTTGATTGTGAATTCGTGTTGAAAAACTTTTTATAAATGACCATTCAAGATGATTGCATTTGTTAACATCTTAATACCTAAATGGAGATGGGATTTTAGTATTCCTGCTTTTTATTGCCATCAAGAAACTAAATATAACAATCTCTGGTTGTGCCTTTTTGCCCATTATTAGTAATTCCCATTTTGCAATTCCTCATTATTAAGATTATTTATGTATGACCTAAGAGTACCTTTAAAAAAATGGTACCCATCAATCTCTATATCTAATACTGACTATTCTCAGCCATACATTTAGACCACTACTCACTTAAACATTTTTAAACCAGTGCTGCTTGTGAAAATGTACAGAATCTATCTGTTTATATTAGTTTCTCACTGTTTAGCCAAACACTAATAAAAATCTTCTTGCATTCTGGAGATTAATACTTCTTACATTCTGGGAGTTGGCGATTAACATGGCTATCCGTATTTTACTGGCCACTATTCAGAATCCTCCGGTTGTAGATTTGTTAAACAATTTTGTCAGGTTCTGGAGTCAAGAAATGCTTGTCTCCCTGGTCCATTTTTCCATACACTTTGCCCTGAAGAACGAGCTGTAATAAAACCATATATCTGCTCATTTCTCCTAATATGGCCCAGACATTCTAATTTGCGCTTTTTGATTGTACGAACGATCTCACGTTCGTTCCTCAGTCTATGTATAACCTCAGGATCAGTCAACCGGTCCACCCAAGTAATGCTAAAGACGCGCCTATAACACGACATCGCAAAGGATTTAAGCTCTTTTAAAAAACGTCTGAAAGCATCCGTGCCTGTATTCCGTAGAACAATGTAGAAAAAACATAACATCTTAGGATGGAGACTTTGGTTTTGAGTGGTAAACTATGGTTTCTGAAGATATATTTTATCTTTATAAATTCTGATGTTGCCTTCCCTACGTGCTATGTTATTTCAATGGACTGTCCCATTTTAGGGCTTTATCTTTTTGATATAAGGTTAACTGCTCGAATAAATGAACTTTAATAATATAAAAGGCAAATACTGAGCACAGTTTAATTAATTTAATCTTGCCCAAGTACTTTCGATCCCTAGATCATCACTATAATTGACGAAATGATCCTGAAGATGATCTATGGATCGAAAGTACTTGGATAAGATTAAATTAATTAAACTGTGCTCGATATTTACCTTTTATACTATCAAACTTTATCTTTTTATCTGTTTTACTGTTTTGGATACGTATTCACTATTCGTTGATCTTTTTGACTCTTTTGTACTGTTTCCAAGGGAAGCTGGCTATACTTATTACTTGTATCTGTCGAAGTTTTGTATCTAAATACTTCTTGTATTTATTTTTTTCTAGTTCTACACATTCTAATTCCTCGGAATCGCTAGTAGAAGACAATCTGTGGTAGTATTGCTTACTGATTAATGGCATCTATTGTATATACATTTGTTGATCGATTTGAAGCCGCTCTGTGTAGTTTGGTTCCATTAATTATGCTACCCACTGTGTGTAATTTGTTTGATTTACAGCACAATAGTGTTGAGGTAAACAAACAGTATTACTGTTCAACACCGATTGGATTGTTGGTTAGGTATTAAAACATTGTGGTACGTGCATATTTTGTGGTACACCCTGTATATTAGCTGATGAAAATGGTTAGCTACAAACATGCTCAGGTCCATTGCTGAGTGGTAACATATGTGCATTGTTAAATAACTATCAAAGTGTGGTTACCGATTTTAAAGTTTCTCCACGTGATGCGAGGTGATTGTGATGTGTATTACGGATATTTATCTGGGCAGTATTACTGACAATAATTTTAGTTATAATAATAGTATTTAGCATTATCAGATTAGTATATTCACAAACACAAGGATAAGTGATTTAGCTCGTTAAAACTTCTTGTTTTAATTTAATTTTTTATATAGGTGTAGTTTTTGTTAGATTATAATAACGTCTGTCGCTTCAGGTGGTAATGCCGATATTTCAGTCAATTTGAATTCCGATGATTCAATAAAAGATTTAAGAACATATAATTTCAATAATAAATATTCTAAAAGTGATTCTGGACCTTACTACGTTTGTATAGAACACATCAATAAAAACATAGGTCGACATTAAAATTGGTTACTATTGTTACGATTTTAAATGTTATGGCGTATAGAACTGTAAATATTTTATGACTAATTCTTTTGTATTGATTCTCGTAATTTCTAGGTCAAAAAAAAAATCTACCTGACAAACAACAATCGAATGTTCTGGGGGCGACAAGCCGATAAAGGAACATGTTTTGAGACCAGTCGCCGCCGTGTCTACGTCGAGATCGAGAACGGCATCGTATTTTCTACAAACATTCTGTTACAAGCTGGTTTCATATAAATACCGGAAGAATTTCATTGAGGAGTTAGTCATAAGAAGATCGGTAAACGCGGTTTACTTGTACGAAACGTGAAATACATACATTTGTAAAGTTATTTAATAAATTAGTAATTAGCTATCGTGAGTTTTAATAAATTAGATTATAGACAATAAATTAGAATAGAGACAAATAAATTCGAACTATATAAAATATATCACAGTGGTGCAGAAGTGGGGTTGTAGATAAATTTAATTTGAATTTTTGAAAAGAAGTGAAATTGGTGAACGATGGCTACGATTTACGAGCTCACAGTTACGAATCTAAGAAGGCATCTTGAGGATAGAGAATTAGCTTCTACCGGAAAAAAGGCTGAGTTAGTCCAACGACTAAAGAATGCTTTGGAGGAAGAGGGTTTAGATCCGGAAACTTATATATTTGAAGATGCTGTCATCGCGTCAATTTCAAAATTAGAGAATAAAGTTTCTGGTGACATCGCATCATTAGAGAACAGAGTTCATGGCGATATTTCGAAAGTTTCCTCTGATGTAGCCAAAGTTTGCGGCGATATCGCCTCTTTAGAAGACAAAGTGTCTAACGAGATTTCTTCTCTAGAAAGCAAAGTCTCTGCTAACATCTCCTTGGAAATCTCTAAAGTCACTTCGGAGATGTCTGCTCTCGACGATAGAGTGTCTTCATTAAAAAACCAAGTTGCTGCCGATATGATGGCCTTCGAAGAGAAGATATGGAAAGAGTTGGAAAGGAAGATTGAGGGAACAGGAACAACAGAGAGAGTAAACAATCCAATTACCATAGAGACAAAAGAAGACGAGACGAAATGTAAGTTGGAAACACGGCCGAAATGTGAAGGAAGTGGAAGTTCCGTTCATGTCAAAGTCCCAACTTTCGACGGAAAATCATCATGGAACAACTACATGAAACAGTTCGAATCAGCTGCAAGAGCGAATGGATGGTCTGAAAAAGAAAAGGCTGTAAACCTGACTATCGCCCTTCGAGGAGATGCCTTAGATGTGCTCCAGACCATAGCCGTAGAGGAGACGGATGATTTCGAACAACTGAAGAAGAGGTTAAATATGCGATATGGCCATGAACACTTGGAGCATGTATATCAGTCGCAGCTCAAAAATCGAAGACAAAAGAAAGATGAGGCTCTTCAAGAATATGAAGTAGATATCGCCAGATTAGTGCGATATGCTTATCCAACAGCTCCCGAAGACATGATGGAAAAGTTGGCCGTTCAAACGTTTATTGATGGTCTTCGTGATCATGAGATGCAAAGAACACTACGATTAGCTCGTCACAAGACGCTGATGGATGTCTTATCTGCCGCCCTCGAATACGAGTCAGCTACGCAGGCCTCTGGCGGGTATAGCAAAGTTAGGACTGTAAAAGAGGAAGGAGATGAAGATAAACTTGACCAGCTCTTTAATATGATAAAAAGCATGACACACAAGAAAACGAAGACCATAAGACCAAAGACAAAACCAGAACGCGTCGGCCTTAGGGGGGCAGCTTCGACCCAGAACTTTACCAAAGACCCTCTGATACTAATAGCTTCTTTGAAATGTCGTGAAGATAGTGTATATGTAGATGGAGAAATAAATGGTAAAAAGCATACATTGTTGGTGGATACTGGAGCGACCAGAACCATTATACGCCCGACAGTTATAAACAGCCGTAAGAAACTGTTACCAACGAGGTTGCGACTTCGGACCGCTACAGGTGAAAATGCCAACATTCATGGAGAAATCCAGGTACAATTAGGAATTGGAACAGAAAAGTTCGTCCATACTGTTATAGTTGCTGACATCGAAGAGGATGTTATATTAGGAATGGACGTAATGAATACACATGGATTCCAATTGGATTTTAAGAATAAGGTAATCAAAGTTGGTAACGAGGAGGTATTTCTCCATCCACATGATGACAACACTATGCAAGCAGCCGTTAAAGAAGATACAGTCGTGCCTGCGAGAAGTGAAACGATAATAGTAGCGCGGCTACAGGGAATTGTGGACGAAGGAACACCTGTTATGATGGAGCCTTGGAATCATGACGACGAAGTTGGCCGTGGAATCATAATTGGAAAAGAATTAGTGACTTCGGCTAAAGAAATTCCTGTGAGACTTATTAATGTCAATGACTACCCAGTGACCATCAAGAAAGAGACAAAAGTAGGAACTTGTGTACCTGTCACATCCATAATCCGTCAGACGACAACGTCTGATAATTCCAACGATAAATTTGATCAAATGGTTGCGGTTGCTGGACAGTCTCTGAATCAGATTGAGAAAAGGAAATTAAGGGAATTTCTTCGGCAGTATCGTGATATTTTCGTACCGAAAGGAGGAAAGACGGGAAGAACTACCGTTGTTAAGCATAAAATTGATACTGGTAATGCTAAGCCAATTCGTCAAACAGCTCGACGATTACCACAGGC